TTGGTTTGATTTTAGCATAGTATAATCTTAATTAACATATGTATTAAAGGTGTAGAAAAAGGATATGGGGACAGGATATATGGGACAAAGGATATAAGGGCAAAGAATATCTACACAAAAATGTAATGTGGATTGGCAAAAAATATTTTCAGTTGGCAAAAGTAAGAAAAGTTCATTAAATTTTTGCATGAATTAGGAAGGGGAAGGCAGCTGTAGGTGGTATCTTTAACCTTTTGGATTATTTGTTCATGTGTGTGTGACTTACAGCCCTAAACTTTCCTCCTGAACTCTCATCCAAGTACTAGTCAGGTTTTAGTTAGCTTCTTGAGATCAGCTATTACCAGCTGAGTGCTCATCCTTGAGGGAGAAACGAACATTCAAAACATTTTTGCACACAATAGCCTTATTTGTACCATGCATGTCCTCTGTATAGCTGTGTTCTTCAGCCCCAGGGGCTGCATTTATTAATGTATTAGGGAAAGAGTAATAATTCCTTTTAAAAATACAGCCTTACTTGAAAGATGGCAGGCAGCAGAATTCATAGGTTTGTCTTACTAGCATGCTCTAATTATATTTATTTAGGATGCACCATATTAGAGCCATTCTTTTCAACATAATGGCTTTTCTGTTTTCCTTCAAAAATAGAGTAATGAAACAATCTACCTTACCAATTAGTAAAAGTAGCAGTCAACTTGACTCACTTATAGCTGTGAAAAGAAATAACGATCAACAAAGAAGACACAAAAGTGCCTAGCTTAACTAGCCTTCCACATGCTAGCAAGAGAAGAGAAAGCCTCCTTCTCTTCTGCTGATGTTCTCCTTCTTATGCTCAGTGCTACAGGCCAGCCTAGTTTTTTTGTGTGTGCAACTTTTTAAAAAGATTTACCAAATTTAGTTGTCTAGTTAGTTAGCTCTCACATGATAGGAATGTTACTGCAGGTTTTTGCTGTAGCAGATAAGATTATTAGTAGTGGAAAGGAAAAAAGGAAAGGAAAGGAAAGGAAAGGAAAAGTAGTAGTTACAAAGAGAAGAAAATGTGAAAGTGAAATATTGAGTCATTTGTGGTAGAGATGACTGTTTTTGAGCATGAAACTGAGCAAACTCAGGGAGGCAGTGAAGGACCGGAAGGCCTGGCGCAATATGGTTCATGGGGTCACGGAGAGTCGGACACGACTTAACGACTAAACAACAAAATGACTGTTTTAGAGAAAATTGAAGGAGAAGATGGAGGAGACAGTGAAATAAGATTTGGATACTGGTAGTCCTTGACTTATGACCGCTCGTTCAGTGACTGAAGTTACGATGGTGCTGAAAAAATGGACATACAGCTGGTCCCCAAAGTTATGGCTGTTGCAATGCCCCCGTGGTCATGTGATTGTGATCTGGGCATGATTGTGATCTGGGTGCAAGCACCCCATGATCACGTGGTCGCCATTTGCAACCTTGCAAGCTGTCCATAAGCAAAGTCAATGGGGAAACCGGCAGGGGAGATTGCAAGTCACTCAGGTAAGTCTCCCCCACCCACCCTGGCCTTTGTTCACTCGCATGCACCTCATCCTCCTTCCTCCTTCGCTCATGCACATACACTGCGCCCTCCTTCACTCGCTCACACACACCAGTGCCCTCCTTTCCCCTTCACTGGCAGGCATGCACTGTGCCCTCCTTCCTTCGCATGCACGCACTGAGCCCTCCTTCCCTTTTTGCTTGCTTGCACCATGCCTCTGCTCGCAGGCACCAGCACCCTCCTTCCTCATTTGCTTGCATGCACTGCGCCCTCCTTCGCTCACATGCACCAGTGCCCTCCTTCCCTCTTCGCTTGCTTACACACATTGGGGCTTTGCAGGAGGAGGCTTTGCAGGAGGAAGGAGAAAGCATCATAAACATCCAGCAGCTTCCAACATGAGCTGCAGAGTGCTTGCCAGAAGTGACCCTGGAGAGTCCTTGAGCAAAGGAAGGAGGGTGTAGTGTGTGTGAGCAAGCAAAGTGGGGAGGAGGTCGCTGGTGTGTATGAGTTGGTACATGTGAGGGAGGGAAGGAGAGTGTTGGTGCGAGTGAGGGAAAGACGGCATGGTCTGTGCGTGTGAGTGAGTGGAGGAGGGCGCTGGGGCATGTGTGCGAAGGGGGAAGGAGGGCCCTGGTGTGAGCAAGCGAGCAAACAGGGAAGGAGGACCAAGAAGCCCCTGAGCTGCATGGTTCTGGGGCTGCTTGCTGTCCTGCATGGCAGGGTGCAAGGCAGCCAAAAGGGCAGAGATGGAGGGAGATCGATGAGTGGGGAGAGTTGGAGGCAGTTGTTTACCTTACTGAGGCTCAAGACTGGGATAGACCAAGCCCGGAATGGCTTGGATTGGGGTGGGTCCTCAGCTAATGGCTGGTGGAATTAGCTTAACAACGGCAATGAGGTGTGCCGGGATTGCAGCCACTAAGTGATGCAGTCATGTGATGTCTCACATTATGACCACATTGCTTAGCGATGGAAATTCCGGTCCCAATTGTGGTCGTAAGTTGAGGACTACCTATAGTGGAAATTGTTGCTTTTGTGTTTGGACCCATCTCAGAGCCACCTGAGAAAAGCTCCTAAGGGTGATGAGACTATTAGCTGGAGGTGAGATGTATTGGCAGCACTTCCAGCAAGTCTCATTCTGGGAGGACTAGGGAAGTGAGAGGAACAATGTCTGAGACATGTACCAGACACTGGAGCTGAGAATCAAACTTCTGGAACCCTGCCACTGCAGAGGTCAGTGAGAGTAACCTCAGCAGAGAAGGAGGAATGAGATTGCCTGCTCCATTGGAGAGATCTTGTAATGGCTGCTGGTGGAATTGAGAGGGCAATGAGGCTAGAAAAGATAACTTTAGCTAGGGCCTGGTGCTGGCCCCAGAAACCAACATGAAACTAAGCCAGAAAAAGTAGTAAACTGGAAGGTAGATCTTACCAAAGTGATTTAGACCATAACATTGTGTTCCCTGGGTAACAGGCAATGAAGCAAAAGGTGGTTTCCTCTATATAGTGAGAGAAGAGGGAACAGGCAGGGAGAAGGGTAGCTGAAGAGTGTGTATGGACTTTTGCAGGGTTCATTAAAAGTGATGACCAAGTCAGACTTGCAGAAGTTACCTGCACATGGTGGTGGATGCTTGTGAGGCATTTGTTGGGGCATGTAGGGTTGAAATTGGGAACAAGTCCTTTGTTTGCTTTTGGAGAGGAGTGAAATGATGTAGGTTCAAATTGATGGGCAGGGGCAGGTATGGTGGGAGCACTGTGTAGGCCAAGATAGGAGAAGGGGGATCTGTTCTTCTAAATTTGTTGCCTCAGTCCTGTGCCCAGATGTCTGAATTGTTCCGTGCCTTACTCTCTAGCTCCTGCTTATAAATGCCAGGGCTGTGCGGAAAAAAAACAGCATTATAAAATGCTGGAAGAAGGGAAGATCTGGTATATATTACTAAAATCTGGCTGGGCAGCAATAGGAATGTTGCTGTGTCAAAGATGTAACTACCCAGGATTCAGATCTAGCTGCAGTGCCAAGGCCAAGGAAGAAAGGTAAACACAATCATAGATGAGACTCTCAAGGTGATGAGGTACATTGCCCCAGAAGAGGTTGTATGTAAGTGCCTGTGTGTGGAACTGGGCTACAGAGACAAAGTAGGACTGCTGGTCAGCAGCAGTCCTACCTGAGCTCCTGAACATTGTCTTGGAGATAGAGTTGGAATTCTGGAGGCTTTTATTCTTGAATGAGCAACGTCCATTCTCTGGAGGAAGGGCAGTCCATACTCAGTGTAAAAGTATAAATTAATGTGGATATTAAACAGAAATTAAAGCATTAATTCTGTTACATGTCTTGATAAAAGTATGAATTGTAGTCTTATCTATGTTTTGTACTTAAGGTTGTTCTGCGTGCACATATTTCTAATATTGTTGCACTTATGGAGATTAAGTAGATATATTTATATGGCTGTGTGAGGGGGTATTTTTACAGAGTTTGAAGACTATAGAGAAAGCAACAAAAAAGTCAAAATTCCCTAGGGACAAATAAAATTACAAAAGAAATCTTACAAAAGTTAATTTAATAGTTTTGAGTCTTGTTTGTTGTTGAGTTCATCAATCTCTTAACAGCACTTAAAGCCTGTTAATGGAAATTATTCCATGAGGAATTATAATTGATTAATTGTATATAAGATAGGACAAATATTGTTAATGCTGTTATGTCCATATACTTTCTTTCTGATAGTACATTTTCTGATCAGTTAGGGGAGAATATAGGAAGTATATCGCTGAGGTAGAATTCAGGCTCCTAAGTACCAAGGAAGACCTGATGGGACCTGATGTTTGAATTATGTATGAGTTGACCTTGGGTGAACTTGAAAAGTATGGTTGGGAGATCAGTAAGAACACTTCAGGTTGTTGGCTAGACTAGGAAGTAGAAAAAAAAAATTACCTAGAAGAAAGTAATGGTAAAGAGCTTCCATAATGTTGCCAAAGAATACTACCTGTATTTGTCCACTAGTAGTTTAACTCCATTCAAGGAGTCTTTGTTTTTTAACCTTTGAATCACATGGATTTAGGGCAGGTACATAGTTTGATTTTTTTTTCCTTGAACGAGATATCTATTGGAGACAACTCCTGAGGCAACAACTCAGAAGAATAAATATATATTTCTCATATTTTGAGAGACAACCTTATAACCTGAAGAGAATTCAGAAAACCTGAATTTAAATCTTAGGTTTTAAATTTAAATTTGAAATTCAATTTTAGCTTTCTTTCACAGAGTTAACTGATACAGGGTGCTATAAAATCATGAGTTTTGTATAATAAGATAACTATCACTTTTTAGTTGTCATGAGTGTAATGATTTTTAAATCAGTTGAATGCAGTGTACATGACTGGATTTTGAGCACATTATATAACACAACATCCTAATGTGTAATTTCCTGTTTGATTTTTATTGTCTAGTACAATATGTGGTATAGTGGTGAAGGTGTTGGACTAGGACCCTGGACATCCATGTTCAAGTCCACCCTCAGCCACAGAAGTCCACTGGGTGAGTTTGGGTCAGTCACTCTTTTTCAGGCCTACCTAACTCACTAGGTTGTTTTGGAGAAAAATTGGAAGAGGGAATGCTGTGTAGAGTGCCTTGAACTGGAAGAAAATAGCACAATCAATCAATCAATCAATCGATCAAGCTATTTAGGCCTATGAACAGAATTATCTAATTTTTAGACATTGCTCTTTTTTTTTCTTTTTTCTTTTGGCCAGTGTCTACCCATCACCAACGCATCCTGTTTTTGATTGACAAAAGAGATGCTTCAGGGACACTGTTTTTAGGCACTTCCAGAGGCTATTGTAAGGTGGAAGAAGACACTATCAGTCTCACCTTACATTTGTGAGGACTAAGTATGCTTTATTCAAGAAAGTTGCTGAAGCAAGCTAGGTTTTCTGCTGTGGACCTATGGTGGAAGACCCAGAATGTGCAGAAAGACACAGATCAGTCTTTGAACTTGATTCCAAACAGCTGATTGGGAACTGGAAAAGGCTACTATAGAAGACTCAACTTCTTTAAGGAGTTGCATACTGATACCATGTTTATATTGCTGAGGATTCCAAAGCATCTTTTGAGAACAAATCTGAAGTGCTGCGCAGCTCTAAGTATCCATTAGTGTCTTTTGGTCTGAAAAACGGAAACGAAAGTGGAGCAGACTCTCTCCATTCTAGATCCCCAAATAATTTAAATTTGATCTAAAAATTGGGGGGGAGGGAATCCTTCTGACCATACTTGGGAATCTTCAGGCTTGAAAGAAGGAAGAGAAATTTTGGTTGCACAAGCAAAATTTTGTTTGCATAGAAAACTATTGACATTTTGGGGACTTTTAACTGAATCTCTTGTCTTTAATCTTATAATAAATTTTGTTTTTTTTAAACTTTTCATTGCTTTAGAGTACTTTACCTTAGAGAAAATGCTTAATTATTTTAAGTTTATTAAAGCAATCTATTGGTCCTTTTGACATATGAATTCATCTGTTATCTGAGGTTTTCTTCTTGGTATCCTTATCTTCTATAGCAGCCTTTTAGTGATAGTCTTATTCTGTTAGAGTATTTTCCTCAGCTTATATGCATTCCATTTTCATATCAGGAAAAGTATCTTTTTATATTCCAGGCGGTGGAGATTTTTTTCTCTTACTCTTAAACAGTACAGATATGTTATCATGGTGTGCCTCCTTAATGATTTTATTTTTAATTTTTGTTTGTTGCTTTTAATCTTATTTTTATATACTCCATTATATTGTTTTGTTTTTCTCTATTTTATTCGGACTTTAAACATGTCTGCAAAATGTCATATTGAAGATGCAATATGTATATTAAAGGTTGAATAAGTTAATTATGCGAGCATTAAACAAGAATCTTGTAAGGCATACAATTGCCAAATTGTTGTTTTCAATTAATCGTATATCATATTACGAGTTGGGTGAAAATAGGAAATGTTTATATTGTTTGTTGATTCCTAGATGGTAGTGAAAACATTTATGGATATGGACCAGGATTCAGAAGATGAGAAACAACAATATCTCCCCTTAGCCTTGCACCTTGCATCAGAATTCTTCCTCAGGAATCCCAATAAAGATGTCCGTCTCCTTGTAGCTTGTTGCTTGGCTGATATTTTTCGAATTTATGCCCCAGAAGCACCATATACTTCACATGATAAACTCAAGGTAAAACAAATTATTTCCATCTTCTTTGGCTCTTGGAATTTTCAAAGAAATGGGTAAGTTGTCTCACTACCTCAGAAACAGATAGTACCATAATGCAGATGTAATAATAAACCAGGATTAATTGTTATGGGAACAAACTGAGGCAGCTTTTAACCTTGCAACCTCCCCTCCCAAAGGGAGAATAAGTAGAAGTGTTTGCTTTGTTTTTTGTTGGAAAAAAAATGCAGATTGTATATATGACCCCAGGGAGACTGAATTCTAGAGTTTAAAATGTGTTTAATTTTAGCCTTCGTTTGTTGGATACAAACTGTATGAATCAGAAATGGACATAAAATTTAAGATATTGCCAACTAAGGGGGAGGGGTATATGAATTCAAGACATATGTAGCTTTGTTTGTGTAAGGTTAAGCAGTGGTGCTTAAATACCTTCCACAAAAGATATTTATTTCAATATATGGAGGAACTGGCATGAACAGATGTTTGGAGATTACAAACTCATTTGCTTAATTAGGTTCTCTTTATCTAGTTTTAGGACTTGTGTGAAGAACAGATCACATTTTAGGTCATATTTATCATGCTTAGGTCATATTTATGCAGAAATAATTGAAAATTCAAAAGAGTTCACAAACTTTTAAGCACCACTATAGTTAATCATTATATCTGAATTCCTTTGTGAATTTTCTTAATACTGAGAGTATCGCTTAAATTAAAAAGAACTAGATAGAACTCTAATGACAGCAATGTTCCCATGTCTTGATCCACTTTTTAAAAATCTTCCTCCTTGTTTTGCAGGATATATTTTTGTTTATTACAAGACAGTTAAAAGGATTAGAGGACACTAAAAGCCCTCAATTTAACAGATACTTTTACTTATTAGAGGTAAGAATCTTTATCAATTTAAACCAAATATATATCAGTGCTCAACAGAACTGCAGTTATGTTTATGATTGTTGTAGCTTAATATATGCTTTTTCAATTTCTGTTGAAAACCAACAAGACAAAATACTTTTGGCTTTGCTCCTATTTTTATTTTAATATATCACAGCATACAGAAAATATGATATCTTACCATGCATTTTTCAACAAACCAGTGTTTTATTTATCATATCGGCAAGCTATTTTGAGGATTATGCTAACTTTTTGCCATATATGTGGAGTTCAGCTTGAAATGATAATGATAATGCTTTGTTTTTGTTATAGAATTTAGCTTGGGTTAAATCTTACAACATCTGCTTTGAGTTGGAAGATTGCAATGAAATTTTTATTCAGCTTTTTAGGACTCTCTTTTCAGTTATCAAGTAAGTTGGAGTACTCCCACCTCTTACGCAGACATTCATTCATTCATATGTCACATTTATATGGCCGCCCATCTCACACAAAGTGACTTTGGGCGGCATATGTTAATTGTGTTATGTTAATAAAGATATGTATTCTTATACAACATAATTATGTTTTATTGCAACTTTATAAAACAGTACTAGCAATATTAAACATGAACCTTGTGGATTGCAAAAATAAATTCTGTAATGGCAGAATTACCTAGCTGAGAACTGCACCATGGCAACCACAGGCATGCTTAAACATCAAAGTCAAGGTCTTTATATCTTATGAATCTAATATACAAGTAATGAGCATGAAAGAGGTTTGTGAACATTTTGCTTCTCTATAGCTTCCATTCAGTTCTGTGAGTCAAAATAATTAACTGGCAAGACAATTGGTGGAGGACAAAGATATAGTAATCTGAAAGAACCAAGGGCAGTTTTAATTTATTTATCCAGCATTGTCCATAATTGTAACACATTATCTTCCCATATAAAAATACATATTTCTGCCTTTGGGGTGCTGCTATATTGAGAAGAAACTAACTGTTCACCCGGAATTGGTAAATTCATTTTGCATTAAGAGTGACTTCATTTCAGAGCAGAGATGTTAGGAATCTTTGTGATATACAGTGTACCCCTGTCTCTTCATCCTAAGGAAGGGATTTTGGTAATCAGTGTTAATGCTGCAGTGGAGGAGGCAACAACAAGCACCACCTGGATTAGTGGGAGAGGCATGGGAAAAACAGAAGAACCAGAGTAACTTTCAGTTGTGCTGTTTCCCAGTCCAATCAAGGAGAGAAAGCCCTTTGAATAATCTAAATGTATAGTTATGTCTAAACTTAAAATGTCATTCATATGGCCCAGTCATTTTTATTAAATCAGGTGGAAAAAATTATTAACTTGACTGTAATTTAGTAACAAGATTTTTTAATTGAGTAGCACCACTATTGTCAATTAATAATCTATTCTAATTTTAATGTTATATTTAGCAATAGCCACAACCAGAAAGTCCAAATGCATATGCTAGATTTGATGAGTTCTATCATCATGGAAGGCGATGGAGTGACTCAAGAACTATTGGACTCAATTCTTATCAACCTCATTCCTGCACACAAGGTTTGCAAAGACAAAAAAGTTCTTCCTCCCATTCTTGTGATATAAATTTAAAGTCTTATCTTACAGGATGTTTTGCCAAAATAATAGAAAGCTTGCTGGCCTTCTGCTGATCTTTGCTTTCTCTTGTTCCTACTGGTGCTTAATGGTTGCAATCTCATTTTTAAATGCACAAATGTTCAGAAGAGTTATAAGGGAGATGTTGATAAAAGCAACAACTAGGCACTTGGCATGTCTTTATCTTATATTTTGTTGTCAACATATAATTAGTGAAGTTATACTTAGTGGGCCTATTAGGGCAGTTTTTAAAAAGTTGTTTTAAATTGGAGGTTAGCGATTGGTCTGTTAAGTCATTGGGTGAATCATGCAATGATGTAGACAATTTTACAAGATCATAGAGCTTGATGAACTTATGAGGTTTAGGCCATTGTTTAATTTTTTGTTAAATTTTGGAGATCTCTGAGTACCATATTACCAACTTAGAATTTATGACTCTTCCTGACCAAAAAGAGAAGGTTAAACAATGGAATTAGGAAGATTTTATGTACATACCAAACTAGAATGTTGCTGAATCATATTTTACTATCTATAAAGAGGACAGGTGTATAGTAAGGTTGTTCATGAATGCAAGGTTTGCATCTTTTACCCACCGGGGGGCGGGGAGGAGAGAGGTTTGTAATTTGTTCTCTCTCTGTCTGTCTGTCTGTCTGTCTTTCTTGTATAGGTGCATACTTTAAGGTCTGTCTCATATCTTGTGTTCAGAAATCTCTATCTAGTATAAATTACTTGATAACCACTGTATTTTTCTTAAACATTTTTCTCTTTATTCTAGAACCTTAATAAACAGGCATTTGATCTTGCAAAAGTCTTGTTGAAAAGAACAGTCCAAACCATTGAGCCATGCATTGCCAATGTATGTAATATATGTTTTAACATACTAGTGATTGCTACATTTTTAAATCTTTACTTGTTTTGAATATTTCCGTGGATTCATCACAGCAAATTAGTAAAATTTGAAAATGAGTATTGATACTTTACATGCTCTATTAGACAGTTACTTAGCAATCATAATCCCCCTTCTTTTACACAGCTCTCTTCCCGCTTTTTCAGTCAGAGATAAGCCAAACTCATGTAGGTTCATGACAGAATCATACTGTTGGCCAGCTTAGCTAGCTGACGTTGTCTGCTGGTAAACAGAAGAAAATAGTGGCTGTAGCACATTGATTTTTAGACTCTCCTACTTCTAGAGGTAGAATTAATTAACAGTGATGTGGGTTATATATGTCTATCTGGAAGTATTACTTGCTATAAATGCTTACAAAGTGCCTGAATAAAAAACTGCAAGCAAATTGTAGAAAAATATGAGTTTTTTAATAAAAACTAGTTTTAAAGCCTTGTACCTACATTAAATAAAACACTAAAGATAATTCATTCAAATAGGATTATCTGTTAACTATGAATCTGTTTGTGATGCAGAGATGGAACTGAAAGGTTTTGTGTGTTAAAAATACTGTTAGCTAAAATTATTAATTATGTTGTATCATGTTACAAAATAATCATCTTATACAAGCCCATCAATATGATTCTAGCTGCAGCTACCTCTTAAATTGGGTACAGGTAGTCCTCGACTTACGACCACAACTGGGATTGGAATTTCCATTGCTAAGCGATGCAGTCATAAAGCAAGATGCTATGTTACTGCATTGCTTAATGACTGCAATCCTGGCAATTCCCAGTGAATTTCACTATTCGTTAGCCAAGGACCCACCCCAATCCAAGTCATCCAATCCTGAGCCTCAGTAAGGTAAGGGTCTGCCTCCAATTCCCTCCACCCGCATATCTCCTGCCCACCTCTACCCTTTTGGCCGCCCTGCACCCTGCCTGGGGCAGCAAGCAGCCCCAGAACCTCAGAGGTCCCTGAGCTGCAGCACAGCATGAAGCTGCAGCCTGCCCCAGCAAGCATTCGTTCACCCAGCTGCCTTCTCTCCTAGTTCCCTGCACCAATCTTTCGCCTTTTTCACCCAGCCACCACAGCCGTAGCAGAAGTATCTCACTGCCTTTGCTGTCTCCTTTTCAGACCCAGCTTCTCTAGCAAATGTATCCTCCACAGGGCAGGTTTCTTTCCAAAGTCTCCGTGCTGTCTTCAGAAACCTGCCCTGTCTTTACGAAAGCTCCGTGAACACAGTGTAGGTTTCCAAAGACAGCGTTCTGAAGGCTCAGGGAGCCACGTAAAGGATATGTTCCCCAGAGAAACTGGGTCTGAAAAGGAGACAGCAAAGGCAGCAAGGCACTTCTGCTTTGACCATGGCAGCTGGGCGAAAAAGGTGAAAGGTCGGTGTGGGGAACTGGGAGAGAAGGCAGCTGGGTGGACGCATGCTTGCTGGGGCAGGCTCGGGCTTCATGCTTCTTGCAGCCCCAGAGCTGTGCAGTCCTGGGCTGCTTGTCACTCCGCAAGGCAGGGTGCAGGGTGGCCAAAAGGGCAGAGATGGGGGGGAGATAGGCGGGTGGAGGCAGTTGAAGCGCCTCTGCGGTCATAAGCGCAGGTGGGCTGCCAAGCACCAGAACTTTGATCACATGACTGTGGGGCGCTGCAACAGCTGTAACTTTGGGCTCAGGTCATAAGTCCCTTCATTCAGTGCCATTGTAATTTTGAACGATTGCTGAACGAATGGTTGTAAGTCAAGGACTATCTGTAGTATGATGGCTAATTCTCTTTTCAAAGCTGCTTGCTTTAGTCTCATTTGCAGGATATCAGATACTAATAGACTGACTACCAGACAATGCTGTTCTGCATTGAAATAGAATGTTAATCTTTTAATTTGTAGTGTCCTTGGGAAATAGACTTGCTGCCTAAAATGTGTTAAACTCCACAGGAGAGTCTTGCTTTGGCACTTTGGAAATTATTTCTCCATTTTTTAATGACTGTTGGTGTCTACCCTTTCTTAATTGGCTCTACAACTTGAGACAGGAATTCTTAATGGCTTTCACTGCCTTGAGGAGGATATTGGCATCCTGCAGTCCGCTCCAGCGCATGTGTGAGAGCGATAGAAGTTCATCTTTGATACTGCCTGTTGAATAGAAATTGTCTGTTTCTATAGTGAAACCACAGTACCTTAAATACTTAACACAGTTTTGCAAAGATGTGATAGAGTTATGGTGACAATCAAAGCAGTTAAAATTTGTAGGCGCTTCTTTGAAAATATTTACTCTTTAAAATAACCTTTTTCTCTCTTATTAGTTTTTTAATCAGGTTTTGGTACTAGGAAAGTCTTCTGTGAGTGACTTGTCTGAGCACATATTTGATCTAATACAAGAACTTTTCGCTATCGATCCTAATTTACTGTTGTCTGTCATGCCACAGCTTGAGTTCAAGCTGAAGGTAAGAAGAATTCATCTTACATCAGATTCTGTATATGTGAAAATCTGTAGCATTTGCACAAGGCAGGTAGGGGAAAAGCGAGTCTGTTCGTTATGCACTTTTGCATGTTGTTGAGAAGCAGGTACAAAACGGTAGAAGTGGAGAGGTTGCGCTGAAATGTGTGTTTTGCTGTTTTGACATAATTATGGTTAAGGACAGGCATGCATGCTAGCAGGAAGCTGTGTGGTTTTAAGAACAAATTTGTTTTTGCACTTGCCAATGGAAGTGGCTATATCTTGGGCAAGTTCCAAAGAATCACTGGCTCACTGGCATGTTTATGAAACATAGAATAAGTTCATAGCTGAATGGCAGACTGCTTTCGAAATATGAGGGGACCTATAGATGGATAGGACTAGTCAATGATACAACGTGGAATTACCTCTTAAAATTTTCTAGCAGTCACAAGGCACAGCCATGTCTGAAACAGCTATTTTGGTCGTGTCTTTTGCCTGATAGAGTGATAAAAGTATTTGTTCCAATTAAAGCATGAGGCCGAGTTCGTTAAAGCATCAGTTCAACTGTGAATGCTTCTGTTGGCCTCCATCAGTTCCCCAGGTGACCTGGATACATTTTCTGAACATTTTTATTTTTAAAAACTAGGAAACTAATTTTTTAAAAAACACATTGCACATTGTGGACATTGCAAAACAGCAGCCTTCAGTATCTCACTTATTCACAAGAGAACGTCTGGACTCAGTATCGACTCTGTAGGCATTTTTTGAAAATACAAATTAAGAGGTGGCTGTAGTATTGTACTTTTTGTTTCAAATGCCCACCTGCCAGTAAAAAATGAAGTTACTTTGAGGTGGAATAAAGCAGATGGAGGAGTACAGGAGAACGGGGAGCAATCTCACCCATTTGTCTTCTGGTAACAAAGTTCTTTCATGACTGGCCATGCCACCATGATAGCCATTTTGTAAACAGCAAGGCCCTCTGGCAGTTATTCTCTGAGAACGCTTAGGGCATCTCTTAAAATTCTAAGTGTGTCCTGTTGCCCCCAAAGGTGGTCTGATCCCAGCCCAGATCACCCTCATTATGTTGTATGCCATTTTTTGTCCGCCTAAACTGAGGTATCTCTTCATAGGCATGCCTTTTTTCTGTGACATTTTTGTAGTCCGTATGTAGAGTAACATACTGAACATGGGAAAGAATTTCATGTGGAATGCATAACTTAAAAACTTAGCATTAGTTTGATGTAGCTTATTTTATGGAACAAGAGCAAATGGTCTAATTACATAAATGTTATATCTGTACATTTCAGTTTAATGCTAACCTGGGGGGGGACCCTTTTCCTTTTCAATCGGCAGAGCAATGATGGAGAAGAACGCTTAGCTGTCGTAAGGCTTTTAGCGAAGTTATTTGGCTCTAAAGATTCTGACCTAGCAACACAAAATCGTCCACTCTGGCAGTGTTTTCTTGGCCGGTGAGAAATATACCCATATATTTTTAGTTGGGTTGATTTTAGCCATTCTTTTTCTGTAATATTTTTTTTTACTTTATTTTCCTCCTTCTTAAAAACCCTATACAAAATTTGTTTGTAATACAGTAAATATTATGTATCAGTTTTTCAGAGAAGTTATTTCTGATATTCATATAACATATTTTGAAGCAAAGCTATTTTGAGAGTCAGAATGCCACCTAGAATTTCCATGTTTTAACCAAATAGATTTTTTTCCTTGGTTTTATACAATATGCTGTTATTCATTCTTTGAAATAATATGCATGTACAGTGAATATATATATATATATGCATATGCATTCCCTTTGATAGATGAATGTAATTATTTTCTGCTTTATTTTAAGAAATCAAGTTTGATTTCAGAAATTATCCATTTAGCTATTTCTGTACAAGTTTTCCTGTTTTTTCCATGTTAAACTGAAAATATTTACTTTTTGTTCAGTTTATTGAATTTGCCTTATTTTGTGGGATATTCAGTATGTTGGATTTTGATATATTTACAGTATCTTGCATTCTGAAAGTGTATTTTCATAAAAGCATATTTAGTTTATTGTATTCAACATTGAAACCAAATATAATTTTGGATTAATATATTACTCTCCTCTAGATTCAATGATATTCATGTTCCTGTGAGATTAGAAAGTGTGAAATTTGCAAGTCATTGTTTAATGAACCATCCAGATTTAGCAAAAGACCTCACTGGTAAGATACTTTAATTCAGAAGAACTGAAGAAAAAAGCATGAGGATAATGGGTTCAGATAAATAATGTGGTGATATAATATGTCAGGTGGCTTGATTATTTTGTTCATTGTGAGGCTTAAAAGGCCTGTTGGAGGTACATCTTCATAGAAAGGATAGGAAATGATATCATGTTTATATCTTGCACTGCCCAACATATAAAATAAGAGTAAATGTTTATCAATCCATTTGTGAAATATGATCAAATTATCAGCTCAGTGCAGTAGGCTTTCTACAAACGGGACCTCCTCTTGGTTTCCTTTGTTCAGTTGCTTACTTACTTAACTTTGTATGTGCTTCTTGAACTCATATTTAGAAGTAAGTTTCATTGACTTCACTAATGCTAATGTCAGCTTTTGATGTGTTCTGCACATCAAATTACACCCTTGTAATTTTAATATTCCTGAAGGCTTTGCTCTTTAGTTGCAGGCACATGAATAACTTCTGTTTTTCAGTAGAAGTTATATACTTTTTTTTTAAAATAGAGTACTTAAAAGTCAGATCACATGATCCAGAAGAAGCCATCCGTCATGATGTCATTGTTACAATAATAACTGCTGGCAAAAGGGACCTTTCTTTAGTCAACGACCAGCTCCTTGGCTTTGTCAGAGAAAGGACACTGGACAAGCGGGTAAAGTGAATTGCATCTTATAATTCAGCATTTGAGGCTACCTGGATGTTTTGGGGATATGGATGGAAAGAAATTCCATGTTGTTTTAAAAATGAAAGTCAGCTATTGAAATGATCACTCAGTTATCAGTATCCTCTTTTATCTTGGAATGAGTCTGTAAAAATTGATGAGGTATTGAATTGGTATTTTATATTGAAAAATACAAAACCAACATTTTTTTGCTCATGAGTCTGTTCTGTATGTGAGATCATTTCCTACCATGGCTGCAATGTGTTTTTCAAAATAAAAGTAATTTCACAACATTTTGGCAGTTACACTGCTCAATACTGTATTGATTTTATCATTTAAAAATTATAATCTCAATTATCAATATAGTTTTTATAATGCCGTTAACATAAAAAATGTTGGCTTTTCCATGGTAACTTAGGCTACAAAGTTTCAGGTGTGTTCTGGTCATTAATTTTTAAGCTGAAGTTATTTATAACTTCACATTTCTGGGCATGTGTTTCTTTTTTAAGTGGCGGGTAAGAAAAGAAGCAATGATGGGACTTGCTCAGCTGTACAAGAAATACTGCCTTCATGCTGAAGCTGGAAAGGATGCAGCAGAGAAAGTGAGCTGGATAAAGGATAAACTTTTGCACATATATTATCAGAATAGCATTGATGACAAGTAAGTTGATGGATTTTCAGCCCTTTTCCCCAAAATAAAATCACAAAGCATTCTGACCTTCTCCCCATCCTTTATTAGAGACCAGACGTTTGGCTGGCAAGTTACGTCTGACAAATGCATGTTCACGTATTCCCCCTTCTCATATGTATTGTGGGAATGGAATGCATCCCTTGGCCACTGTGCCTTGCAAGTCTTGCTCTGCTGCATGTACATGTTTAGGACAGTGTGCCTTTTAAAAAACTTAATATTTTAAACTAAGCAATTTAAACAATACCTGCATTTATTTTCCTTTGCAGATTACTGGTGGAGAAAATCTTTGCTCAGTATCTTGTTCCGCATAATTTGGAAACAGAAGAGAGGATGAAGTGCTTGTATTATTTATATGCTAGCTTAGACCCAAATGCTGTTAAGTGAGTATAGCTTTTACTGGGAGAAAGCTACATTTTTAAATCAGTTTCACCAGTACTTTTAAATATTCTGTGCATAGACATTTAAAGTCAAATGTCTTGTAGCTCAGCAGGGTTTCTTCTCTGGCGTGATGGCCAGATAGTTGAAGTAATTAGCTAAATTGGATATCCAATAGAATTCAAGTCAAGGCAGTGTGCTGTTTCAGGGCTACTTAAAAAAAAAAGTACTCTGGGATGAATACTTAGGTATTGTTGGTGTACATGGATGGGGGAGTGTCAGAATTAAAAATTAAGAGATGGGAAGAATATTGAACTAAATACGAACATACCCTTTGAAAAAAGCATGTGATATTACTGAGGGTAGAAGAGTTGCCTCATAAAAAAGAAGCTGCTGGGTGGAGAGTGCCATGGAGCACCATATGCTATTTATACAATCATTAATTTTTTTCACGTTTTAACTTATTTTTCATGTCTTTATGCCCAGGGCATTGAATGAAATGTGGAAGTGCCAGAACATGCTTAGGAGTCATGTGCGGGAATTGCTAGATTTGCATAAAACACCCACTGTAGGTTTCAAAATAACATAATTGTTGTACTTTGCATATTTTGCTTTTTAATATTGCCTCTCTCTTAAAATTAATATGTTAAATGACTGTATTCTTTGAATTCTACTACTATTATTTCTCAAAATAACTGGCTATTAAGAGCTTGGTCATGAGTTTAATAACGAGACATAAATGTGGTAAAATCTATGGCACCAAGAATGATATGCTGTCATCTTGATGATGTCCTTTCCTATAAGGGAAAACTACTACCAACTTTTAAATATAATAATATATGAGCAAAATATGGATGGAATATGGGAAGAAAGAACAATCTCTTTAAAACATTGCAATCTGGCTTTTATAGGATACCTGATAATAGCTACATTCATTTGTTTCCAAATCTTAAAGGGGAATTTGGGGGAGGGTGGATTTATTATCAGTATAAACAGGTCAAACAAGAGTTATATGACAAATTTTCTATGTGAATGCTCATCTGAACTTCTCCTTTCAGTCAGAGGCAAACAGTGCTGCTATGTTTGGAAAGCTGATGACTATAGCAAGTAAGATCTCTTGATCAGAATTAAAATTTCAGTATAGGTTTAAAGGTGCTACTTGAATTGACACTTTTAAATTCTAATTCTGTAGAAAATCTTCCTGATCCTGGAAAAGCCCAGGATTTTGTGAAAAAGTTCAATCAAGTCCTTGGTGATGATGAGAAACTTCGTTCTCAACTTGAGGTGCTAATCAGTCCTACATGTTCCTGTAAACAGGCAGATATCTGTGTGGTAAGGCTTTTTTCTTTATTTTAAATGCTGATACCATATTCAGTTTAGAACATTTCTGAAAGGTTTGTAATTACTTAGGTTTTTGCCATGCTAAGAAGTCACAGTAGGTATAGCACCTAGCTGACCCTTGCTGAACTCAGAAAATCTAAGTTGAACATGCCCATGAAGTCATCAAGAGCTCATTTTGAATCAAGGGAGACTGTTTTATTTGTTAAATTACCGTATTTTTCCGTCTATAAGACGATACTTTTTTTCTAAAATCGTTACACTAAAAATTGAAAGGCGTCTTATGCAAGGAAGTAAGCCAAGGACAGAACTGCGTGGTTGCAAAACTGCCCATGCTTTGTCTCTGCAAACAGGCTTCCTCCTATCACGAGCCTTATGTAACTGACATCAGCTGATGCTGAACAAACCAATTGGAGGAAGTCTGTTTGGAGAGACAAACTATCGGGAGTTTCACTCGTGACTGAATGTAATCAGTTATGCAAAAGAGCATG